GGTTGTTGGGGCTTGGTTGTAGCATCGGCTGGAGGAGGCTGGTACAGGGGGCTAGTCATGTCGAGTTGAACCACAGAGCCACCTGGAGAGTGCATAATCTGGGAGTGGGAGAGGCCTGGGAGGGAAATAGTGGGCTCCTTCCTCTTGGGTTGCCACCCCCCACAGGAGGGCACGGGAACTATGACGGGGGCTGGGGTGGCTAGACAGACACCCAATAACATCCGCAAGGGCTGGATGGATGAGATGGTTGGATGGAATTAGGTCACAATACCCGCTGACATGTATGTGAGCAGAAGGGAAAGCGGGACAGACCGGACTAGTCTGCCATACATACTGGCAAGCCAGGGTAGGAGTGGGCCTGGTGGGGGTTATTGTGGGTCGCTCCAACTAGGCTGCAGCTCCTACTGGTTTGTGTGAGGGCCGAGTGTGTGGCTGGGCAGAACCAGGCTAGACTGCAACACCCATTGGTTCCAGTGGAAGGCGTGGATGGAGACAGAACCGACCCAGCAACTGCAATCACCAGCTGATCGGGGTGATGGACTGTGCTGGGTCCTATGCTTGCTAGAACACGCAGGAATCTGAACTGGGAATACCTCAAAATTTCTTTGGGGATCTCCCCAGTTGAGATGCGGGACTCAGAGCCCTAACCAAGAAAAGACAGAGCAAGTCAATCAACAACTTCAGCTATCCGTCAGCAGTGAAATACTGGGCAAATGGAGACTCTATAAGGGACTGTGTGATTAGTGGATTTTTCGACAACTACATCGTGCTTGGAGTGGCGAGACTGGTAGCGATCCATGAATGGTGAACTATCAAAACCACTTGAGCGAGTATCTCAGAGCATGCCCACATCCGGGACTTAGGTTGGGTGGGGCTTCTCCCTCAATATCCCTCTTTTACCTCAGATACATGAAGGAAGCAGTGTGGAAATGATGGTCTTACCCACTTCCCTGTAGCCCTTGAACCTTTTTTACCCTAATTAACTATGTAAAGATTGTCAAAATATAATAAAAACATATATAAAGAAAAAAAAGATACATTACATTTCTCTACTTAAAGGACATATAAACTGAATAATATTTGGAAGGCTGACTTATTGCAGTCAAGTCATTGTATAATGTATCTGTCTTCTATGTAGGATGCTCACTTCAGGGACAATTTAATGACACTTTTCTGTTCAAATTAGTGTTATAGTAATGTTAGCCATATGGGTTTAATGCCTGTGATTCAGATCACAATGATCTACTGTGTTATGTAGTATAAAATAAGTTCTGCTGTAACATTATTGTGGGTCTCCTATAGGGCAATAGGTATCCATTTTTCATATTAATTTTGTTTTTCCCTATATGTTCCACAAAATAAATTGGGTTTGTAATGGAAAAAAAAAAAAAACCAGCACACATATGGGATCCTGGCACATTCAGGGCGAGGACTTTAACCACTAGGCTACCTTACCAGGCCCAAGAGCTAAAATTTTAAAAACAAAACAGAAAATACTGGAGAAAATACTGGTTTTCAAAGGCATTTGCTTGTATGTTTCCTTGCAGAATGGTTTTGAAAAAGAAATAAAGTATTAGTATTCCACCAGCTCATCTGAATGCTTAGACGTTCACCTTGGGAGGTAGCTGATGATGGCGGCTCAAATAACTGGGTCCCTGTCCCTTACATGGGAGATTGAAACTTACTGCTCAGCTCCTAACTTGGTCCTTGGGGTGGCCCAGCCTGGACATTAGGACATTTGCATAGTGAGTGATAGAAGATCTCTGTTTCTGTATTTCTGTCTTCCGCTCTGATTTTTAAATACATAGTTTTGGGGGCTTAGTGTTGTGACACAGTGGGTTAAGCTGCCACTTGTGACTTTAGCTTGTCATGTGAGCACTTTAGTCCTGGCTGCTCCACTTCTGACCCAGTGTCCTGCTAATGCACTTGGGAAAGCAGCAGATGACTCATGTGAAACCCACCTCCAGTTTCCTTTTTTCTTTGCCTTCTAGTTCTGTCTCATAAATGGCTAAAATACTGCAACTAATTTTCATAGAACCAAGAATTTATATGCAACAGTTTACCATAAAATGGCAGTTACAAGGACTTTCCAAATTCAACTTGCCAATTTTTGAAAGATTCTGCATTTAGATATTTGATATTATATTCTCTTTTTCTGTATTGTTTGCAGTTTGAAGAATAAGAACGAAACAGTATTTGAGCCTTTAATCATACATTGATTTGGCTATTTGTTTATGGGGGAAAAAATAAAATACCTGCTAAAATGAAGTGTGTTTTCTAATGCAACCTAATTTAGTCTACATTCAGTTTTCAGCTTTTATTTTAAGGGTGTGTGTGTGTGTAAGGAGAGAATATTAATTTATGTAACCTCCGTTCTGGAAGCCCTGTGATTTCTGCATCCCCTGCTGCACGCAGAGCCTTCCATTTCCACTCGTTCGCAGTGTGTGACACGTGGCTGCTGCAGCTGCACAGGTCCTGTCCCCAGCAGTAGGCTTCGTCTAGAAGGCAGCCGTCCACGTTCGTTGCTGTTAGCTTGCTGACCCCAGAAGAGCTCCATGGGACTCTGCTAACATGGAAATGAAGGATGGTAGATTGTCAGACTGTGTGTCGGGTGGAGGGCACAGCTTGTGGGTGCTTTCAGTGGAGCCCGGTGAGACGCCCGAGGGCATCGTCTCTAGTCTGCGCATTCACTGAAAAGCATGTGACAGTTTGCCTGGGAAGAATCTAAACTAGAGGCCACCAGAGCAGGTTGAGCCAAAGCCTGGAATGCCAGCATCCCAGCTAAGTATCTGAGTCTTGCCTACTCCATTTCCTGTTATACTCCCTGTTAACACCTGGGAAAGCAGCAGCAAATAGCCCAGTGCTTGAACCCCTGCCATCCGCGTGCTGAAGCTCCTGGCTTGTGGCCTTTTGGGGAGAAAACCAGCAAATAGACTATCTTTCCCTCTCTCTACCTCTCCTCTCTGTGTAACTCTGCCTTTCAAGTAACACTTTAAAAAAAAAAAAAGATTTATTTATTTTTATTGGAAAGTCAGATATACAGAGAAGAGACAGAGGAAGATCTTCCATTTGATATTCACTCCCCAAGCGGCTACAACGGCTGGAGCTGAGGCAATCTGAAGCCAGGAGCCAGGAGCTCCTCCAGGTCTCCCAGATGGGTGCAGGGTCCCAAAGCTTTGGGCCATCCTTGACTGCTTTCCCAGGCCACAAGCAGGGAGCGGGCTGGGAAGCGGAGCTGCTGGAATTAGAACCAGTGCCGAAATGGGATCCCAGGCGTGCAAGGTGAGGATTTTAAACACTAGGCTATTGTGCCGGGCCCTCAAGTAACACATTTTTGTAAAACCTGTTTCATTTTCCTCTGAAATTGTGTATTATGGGTTTGCAACCAGTGATACTTAGCTTTGTCAACTTTTGTATTAACTAGTGCTTTTAAAAATGGCTTAATATTTGGGTCTTTGATCCATTTAGAGCTGATTTTTGTATGATATGACAAGTGCGGATCTTGCTTCTTAAGTCTGCACGCTGCTATCCAGTTGTCCCAACAGCATTTGTTCAAGAGACCAGACTTTTTCCCTGAATTGTTTTAAGTTTTCGTGTCAAAGATTAGTTGGCTGTGCATGAGTGGGCTCCCTTCTGGTGTTCCAGTTCTGTTCCACTGTTCTGTTTCCTGTACCAGTACCAGACTGTTTGGATGTCCTCCGCTCTGTAGTGTGTCTTGAGGTCTGGAATTGTGACTCCTCCAACTTGGTTTTTATTCCTCAGGATAGCTTTGGCTATTCGTGGTCTCTCAGCTCGATGGTGCTGTAAATTTTTTGTCTTAATACCTATTGTTGACTTTGTTTTGTGGCTTGTCATTTAAGGGAATGAGTAGTGGTGGCATAATAGAGACTCTCCTATCCAAGTGTGACGATACACTGCAGTATGTGTCCGCTGCTTCCAAAGCAAAGATGGACTCCGAGTGAGAGTGTTGCACATATCTAAACAATGGGATGCCTGACATTGTCTGCACCAACGATGTCGGGGCACACTTAAATAACACACTAATGGATTTATGACTGCGTATGAAGGATTATACTATTTTAATAATATGGGGAAAATCAGTTGGGGAGAGGGGAATCCCAGACCCTATGGAATTGTACCATAAAATTGAAAATTCTTTTTTAAAGTTTCAAAAAATGGCTTAATATATTTATATTGTTTTTCATAAAAATTTTTATATCGTTTGAATCTTATAAATTGATATTTTTTAAATCTCTCAAACTCTTATCAGTAAGCTTATAGTATCTGTTCATAACTCTGCATTTTCTGACAGTCATCATCTTTAATAATTTTGGTTCAAGAAATCGTTATACTATATTTGCTGAGTCATTAATAAAAATGCATTTCTTTAACAAGTCCCTGAGAAGAGTGTAATGTGCATGAGCCAGGCCTGCACCTCCAGAGCTGCCTGCCCCGTGTCTGGCGAGAGGCGTTGGGTGCCCTGCACACACCACTCCCAGCACACCCGCCAGACGGCGCTGGAAATAACGGCTCTGCGGGCATTCGCATTCACAGCCATGCTTTACCCTTCTCTGGGTGTGGACTCGGTAGCTTTTTCTGTAATGGATTGGCTACATATCACACTATCTTTTCCTAGGCCAACCACTGTTTCAAGCTCCGTAATTGTGAAAATCATGTGCGAGGTTTTGCTGGTTCACTGCCCAAATGACCATGATGACCAGGGCTAAGCCAGGAACAAGAAACTCCATCTGGACCTCCCACGTGGGTGAGAGGGGCTCTTTGCTGCTCTCCAATGGAGCTAGATATGAAGTAGAGCAGCCAGGTCTGGAACTAGCACTTCCAAATAGGATGCCAGTGTCGAGCAGTGGCTTAACACACTACACCACATTGCTGACCCTTCTGTGTTTGGATTTAAATTCCCACAGGGAAGTATTTTGCTATTGTCGGATTTCATTTCCCTCAGATTGTACTTGAGTAATACGTGTGTTCTTCCTTTATAGGTACGCTTTGTAAAGAACATAACTTCCTGGAAAGAGATGAAACCAGGTTTTTATCATGGACATGTGTCTTATTTGGATTTTGCAAAGTAAGTAACAGCTAAAATGACACACTGAAGAATACCATGCACTTTAGTAACTTAAAAAAGTCAAAGTAATTAAATTGTTATGATGCTGATTTTCAAAAGCATATGCTAGTCTTGGCCACTTTTTGATTTGGAATTTAAGTGTACCTTCTAGTGTTCGACTGCCCTCTAGTGTTCATAAATTGTCAATTCTCATATCAACTACAGAAATTCACATGGAGTTAAATTTAATAATCTTATAAGTGTTTCTATCATTATTATATTTATGTTTTTTGTACAAGAGTGACACTATTTCACACAAAGCCAGACTTGCCCTAGTCAGTGAGAATGCAGCTTGCTGGGTCGTTGTCGGAGCTGAGGAAGCCAAGCAGGCCTTAACTGTTGATGCCCCGTGTGTCTGCCTCACAGCCAGAAGCAGGAAAGTGTGCGCTTTCCCTTGGGCTGCCCTGTTTCATCTTGACAATCGTGATGCATTAAAAAAAGTTGCTTTTACCAGTGTTTTGCCTTCATCAAACTTGCTTTAATTGGAGAGAAGTCAGTATCAAATTCCATGGTTTTAGGGGAAGAGGGGGCCAGGGTGTTTCTGCCATAATTCAATTCAGAAAGTTCAGAAGCCCTCAGGTTTCCGTAAGGTAGTGATGCACTCTGTAGCCTTCTTGTAGAGTCTGTCCTGTTAAATACTAACAGGTCGAAAGGGCGGTCTGAGGACAAGGGTCTTGTGGAGCCGGGTTTTGTTTTTGTTTTGTTAGTGCCATTATTATAAAGCTTGACATCCAAATATTTTTTTTACTTATTAATTATTGTCAAAAATAGCTGGAATTTCACTGTTCAGTAATACGTATTTTACTATTAAGCTTTGACACATTCACTCAACTTTTTAAAAGCAATACATACTAATATGTTTGCAGGCTTTAAAGACCTTGTAACAATTAGAGATGCTGTACCTCCTTGTTTACAACAGTTAACAGCATTAACGATAGCCAAAATTTGAATCAAGCAAGGATAAAGAAAATGCGGTATATACACAAAATGAAATATTATTCAGCTATAAGAATGGTGAAATCTTACCTTTTGCAGCAAAATGGTCTCAACGTGAGGATGTCATATTCAGTAAAAGAACCAGGTCCAGAAAGACAGATACCTACCGCATGCTTTCCCTGATATGTGGGAGCAAAAACTTAAAAAAGAACCAAACAGAAAAAAGAAAAAAATGGCTGTGTGTATCTGCATTGCGGCAGAGGTGGTTTGATGAGACTTTATTTAAAAGCTTTGTCAAACCAGTGGTTAAGAATGTTTCTCTGTGCTCACTTTGGCAGCACATATACTGCAATTAGAACGATACAGAGAAGATTAGCCTGGCCCCTGTGCAGTGATGACACGCAAACTCATAAAGCGTTCCATTTTTTAAAAGATGTTATTTTACTGTAGTTTTAATCATCAGTGATTGCCTTATCATCTTCTATATGGATGAGTGATTTTTCTATTCAATTGCTTAGCTGGTATCTGTATTCCCACTAAACTGTGGTCTTTTTACTTGTTACTTGTTAACATTCTCATTTGGTAAAGTATTAAGCTTTTTACTGTAATGTTCGTCTAGAGTATGTTTATCTCAAAAGTTTAAAAAATAGAGGAAAATGGAAAAGGAGAGAAGATGGGAGGCTAGGGAAAGGGGAGAAAGGGAATGCTATGTTTTTAGAATTGTATTTAACCTGTTAAATATTAATTAAAATTAAAAAATATTCTGAGGCTGACCTGGTGGGTCAGTTTGTGTCTTGCTGCTTCATTCCCAATCCAGCTATCTGCTAATAGCCTAGAAAAGTAGCCAAGGATGGGCCAAAGCCTTACACCTGCACACCCCCGTGGGAAACCCAAAATCAGCTCTGAGCTCCCAGCTTTGGAGAGGCCCAGCTCTGGCCATTGCAGCCACCGGGGAGTGGACCAGCAGATGGACTATCTCTGTGGCTTTCTCTATATATAGTTCTGTTTCTCTCCCTCCTTGTGTCTCTGTGTAATTCTGTCAAGTAAGATACAAAATCTTTTTTTTTTTAAGATTTATTTATTTTTATTGGAAAGTCAGATATACGGAGAGGAGAGAGACAGAGATCTTCATCAGCGGATTCACTTCCCAAGTGGCCACAACAGCTGGAGTTGAGCTGATCTGGAGCCAGGATCCTCCTCCAGGTCTCCCATGCAGGTGCAGGGTTCTGAGGTCTAGGGCCATCCTCGACTGCTTTCCAGGCCACAAGTAGGGAGCCGGATGGGAAGTGGGGCTGCTGGGACACAAGCCAGCACCCATATGGGATCCTGACATCTGGTAGGTGAGGACTTTAGCCACTGGGCTACCACACCGGCCGGATACATAATCTTTGAATTTAAAAAAAAAAACATTCTGTTTAAGATTTTAAATGAAAGTCACAGGGCACAGTGAATTGAACCACTGCTTGCAATGGTGGCGTCTCATATTCAGAGTGCTAGTTTGAGTGCCTACTGCTTGGCTTTCGATCCAACTGCCTGTTTATGCCCCTAGGGAAGCAGCAGAGGATGGCTTAAGTACTTGGGCCCCTGCCATTCACTTAAGTACTTGGGAGACTTGGATGGATTTCCAAGCTCTTGAGCTTGGCCTGGCCTTTCAACCACCTGGCATTGCTGTCATTCAGATAAGTAAGGTTTTTTTTTTAAAGATTTTTATTTATGTATTTTAAAAAGCTAGAGAGAAGGGAGAGACTGAGTTTCTATCTGCTAGTCTACTTCCCAATTAGCCTAAATGGCAGGGCTTGGCCAAGCTGAAGCCAGCAGCCAGGAACTTCATCCAAGCCTCCCACCCATCGGTGGCAGGCTTCCAAACATTTGGGCTATCTTTACCTGTTGTGCCACAATGCTGGCCCAAATAAATCAATTTTTTTTAAGAATTTTTTTTTTTTTAAATTGGAAAGTCAGATACATAGAGAGCAGGAAAGGCAGAGAGGAAGATTTTCCGTCTGTTGATTCACTCCCCAAGTGGTCATAACTGTCAGAGCTGAGGCAATCTGAAGCCAGAAGCCAGGAGACTCTTCTAGGTTTCCCACACGGGTGCAGGGTCCCAAGGCTTTGGGCCATCCTCAACTGTTTTCCCAGGCCACAAGCAGGGAGCTGGATGGGAAGCAGGGCTGCTGGGATTAGAACCAGTGCTGAAATGGGATCCCAGTGCATGGAATGCGAGAACTTTAGCTGCTAGGCTACTGTGCTGGGCCCATAATTTTTCTTTTTTAAAGAAGGTTACATATTAAACCCAATTTCTTTATTTTTAAAAGAATGGAATGGAATTCTACTGATTCCAGTTGGTAATAATTTTGGGTTTTTTTGGAAATCCTGTAATTAAAAATGATTCACCCAACTATTACATACATAAATAATATATTCCTATTTCTAGTTCTTTCCCAAGTACTCAAGATCTTTCAGTAAAATAGTAGCTTTAAAGTTAAATGTACATTTTTCTATAAATAATTCATCTTGCAATATTGAAAACATTTTATAGGCAGCTTTAGAATAAACTAATTATTTTTTTCTTTGCAGAGGCATTGAACCAATTTCATAAACTTCATTCATATGCATATTTTCCCTTAGGGCTGCATTATCTTTGAATTGAATGTTTGTTACCCTTTCACCTAAATGATTTATTTTTTCCACACAGCTCAGTTTCTAATACTCTAGGATTTCATTATCAACATTATATATTGAGTGCTTTTGCTTTTGGCAAAGTCCTGTGCTTAGAACAAAGCTCTGGTATATATTGGGGCTCTTACAGTTGAACAATGTAAAGCTTTTTGAAAGACTAGTCTTATTTATTAAATACTGACATGAACGTGTAAGGTTGACTATTTTGAAAGTAGGTCTCATGTTACTAGAAGTGAAAAGTATGGTGAAAAATCCTAATAGAAGTTTACAAGGTGTTTAGATAAATACCCAAACAAAATCATCTAGGGGAAATGTGTCTGGATAAAAGTAAAAATAGTAGAGCTATTACAGGTGTAACCAGTAATCGGACAAACTCCATGAATAAGGAAGGGGTAAGGAACAACATCTTGCCAGTTTTTAAAAATGCTTTGTTCTTCAAGACATTTTAAAGTTTTTTCTTTGTTTTTATTTATTTGGAATGCCAAAAGAGAGGGTGGGAGACTTCTGCTGGCTTACTTGAATTCCAGTAGGAGCAAGTTGGACATTTTCAAAATGCCTTAGTGTACAAGAAAGACGAAATTTACAAGTTTCAGTTCTTTATTTCACTGAAACTCCATTTTCCCCTTATAGTTTATGATTCTTCGAACACAGTGGAAATGTTACATTTTATCAGTATCTTCTATTACTCTTTTTTTACTTTCTTCAAATGGTTTAGTTCAGGTATATAAGATGTGTACTCTTGTGTTTTTCCCAGAAATGAGAATGAGTTTTCATCACTTTCATTTTTTCCCTCACATTACCTCTCATGTCGTTTTCAGAACAATTAAGGTGAATCAGTCAAGAAGCAGATAGGTCAGGACAGGAAGCAAATAATGGAATGCTTCACTGAGTCTGGAACAGCCTAGAGGGCAAAAAAGTGACAATCTTTGAGGCCTAAATTCAAGTGAGGTTGTCCTTTTAACCTTAAGGTTCTCTGCTGAAGCAGTTCTACTTGGTAGCATTGCCTACAACTTCCTAACAAATATGTCCCAGCAATGCGGAAACTTTGAGAAAGCACTCTAACCACTATAGGCAGTGGGCCTGGTACTCAGCACTGAGCCTGTAGACTGATAAGGAATGGTGTCTGATCTGCAGTTAGCTCCAGTTCTGTGGTCTCAGCCACACTCCTTCGGATCTCTGCACAGCAGTCTCCACATTTGTAGACGGAGGAGAACTGAAGTAGTTACTACCTGTGGTAGTTGTGTACGGGTTAACCGTGTTTGTACAGAGGAGGCCTCCCACAGAGCAGTGGGATGATTCCTTCGCCGTTCCCACTTCTTTCCATTACTGATATTTTCCTTTCCCAGTCTGACTGAGTCTCTGCTTCTGCTGCTTTTTCCCATTTCTCCTCCTCCTCCTCCTCCTTCTTTGTTGGTTGGTATACGTTATTCAATACCTAGATCTTACTTCTTTCAAGCTATAAATGCTTATACAATATATACAATAGCATAAACCGGATCGCTTATCTCTAATATAAATTAGTCTCTCACAGTTCTGGAGACAGATGTCTAAGATCTGGGCCCAGGCAGGTTGGATGGCTACTGCGAGCCTTCATTCTGCTTCCTAAGTGGAATCTTCTTCATGATGACGTGAGTGAGGCAATTCTTTAGGGCCTCCTATATGAGGATACTAATTCCAATCCCGCTGGCCCCACCCTCATGATCTAAACACTTTTCTGAAAGCTGCATGTGCAGGTAACATGGAATTGGTGATTAGGTCTCAGTGTGGGAGTTTGGGGTGTGGAAACCACATTCAGACACAGCTTATTCCTGTATCTTAATTAGGTGCTACATAGACTCCTTTGCCTTCCTTTGTCTGTATTGGAAGGTTTATTCCTTTTTAATGTATCACAAGAACCAAGCAAGAAGCCTTAACATTATCCTGAACAATTATTTTCTTCATCATCTATGGCTAATCAATCTACAGTTCTGTTGAGTCTTGTCTTCATTCATTTAACATGATGTTTTTGACATTTGTCAGTCTGATGGCTTCTATCAGCAGTTAGCTGCTGGTTCAATAATACTGCAGTACATAGAAGTACCATAATTTCTATCCATTCACTGGTTACTGAGTATTTACATGATTTCCACATTTAGGTCATTGTAAGTAAAACTGTTAAAACATTTGTATACATTTGTTCTGTGGATGTATGTCTTAATTTCTCTTGGATTAAAAACCTGCAAGTAGAATTGCTGGGCTATATGTAATACTGTCAGGAACTGTAAACTGTTTTTGCAGGTGGCTGCGTTGTTTGTAATCTTACCAACAGTGTTTGAGAATTTCAGTCCTCATGCATCCTCTCCAGCATTTGAAATTGTTAGACCTCTTCCTTTTTTTAAGTTGAACCATCCTGATAGATGTTTGGGAGATAAATACCCTTTCAAAGTGTTAGATTGGTTATCTGGAAAACCATTTAGTCATGATGCTGTTATCAATGAGATCAACAATAGCAACCTACCACTAGGACTTGAAAGCTTCTATGAACCCTTTATGACCAAGAGGGTCCAGAATATCTACAGTGCAAGGTATACATGTCCCCAACAAGACTGATGCTTAAATAGACTTGTTAAGTCTAGTGTGAAGCAGAACTCTCAGAGCCTAATGCTTCCAGCCACTCATTCCTACAATTGCTTCATTGTATTAGATTTTGAGTAGCCGTTACAAACACTCCAAGCATGCAGTTGGTTTTGAAAACACTTTTTGTTGTTCACATGTCTATCCAGGCCATCTGTAGGTGTACTTGTGAAGAAATGAGCCTACTTAATGTTCCCTGCTTATTGTGCCACATATGCTAGCATGGCTAGAATGGGGTTCTGAAAGCACTGACCTGATTGTTTGTCCCCTTTTTTTAATTTGTATCTTCAAATTCCTATCAAGTATACTTTTTTTGGTAAGAATATTACACACTAACAGGCCTAGGTACTCCCTAAGTATATTTAGATTTTCCATTCTTCCACCTAAGTTTTGCTATGAGATCGGTCACATCACTGGTTCGGATTAAAGATGGCTCTCAGACCACAGAGGTTAGAGCCCCGAGCTGTCTGGTGGGCAGGAAAGGTCAGCCAGCAAACCTGGTAACTCGCATGCCCTAACCAGCTAAGCTGTATGGCCCTGATGGTATTTTTAAAATTTGCTATTATGTTCCACTGCCTACAGCTCTTCATTCCCCATGGGATCTTCAGACAGTTCTTGGAAATACATATTAAATAATTTTTGTAGCAAATAAACTTATATGAAGCCTCATATGTAGCCATTTCCCAATAAGCTCTTATCAACTTTTAGAAAGAGTTCTTACAAAAATCTTACATCCATACCTGATAAGATACCACCCATATCTAATCCAGAGATGGTTGCTTCCCATACTGCAACAGTTTTGGTTGGGTTTTTTGGTTTTAAAAGATTTATTTACTTACTTTTATTTCAAAGACAGAAAAGGAGAGACAGAAGGAGGGGTCTTTGGTCCACTGGTTCACACCACAGATGGCCACGACAGCTGGAGCGTGGCCAGTCCATACCCAGGAGCTGCTTTCCAGGTCTTCCATGTGGGTGCAGGGTCCCAAACTTACAGGCACCATCTCTTGTATTCCGAGGTCATAAGTAGGAAGCTAGATTTGAAGCAGAGCAGCTGGGACTCCAACTGGTACCCATATAGTCTGTCAGCACTAACGGGTGAGGATAGCTTATGCCAACGTGTCAGCCACAGGATGAGTTTCATAAAGTGCCATATTCCCCTTCTCTGTTGCCTGCTGTGAAACACTGTCCATTGTAGGAGGAAGGGAAAAGAAGGAAAACTGGTGGAAGATACTCTTCGGGGACATTTCTAGGAAATGGTCCTGGGTGTGTCAGTGGCTAATGATGGCTACCAAGAAATTCCCATTTTAAAAATGGTGTCGTTTATCTCATCATCCTGTGCTCTCTCTGTGTCAGTTCAAGGAACAATTGCCTTCTTGTTGCACCCTGCTCTTTCACTATTGGGTACACTCGCCCACAGAAAGATTTTCAGTGCCTATTTCACGGCAGTCTGTTCATCTTAATTCTTTTAGTAGTTTGGCGTATGTGTGTTGGGCATGGTGCTTAGCTCTAGGGATAAGAGAACAAGAGAGAAACAGTTCCTGTCCACAGAGAGCTCCTACTCGATACCTCATGTGACAGTATTACATGTGTCTGAGATCAGGCGAGATCGGGCATGTTCAGGGTGGTATGGCCATAGACAATGTATGTGTCCAGCAATACTCCTGTCCTGTCTTTTTTTCTGTAAAGAGAGGGCTTTTTTTTTTTTGAAATCTTATTTGAAACGCAGAGTCAACTTGGAGAATGGAAGTGAAGAGTGTAGCTCAATGTTCCACCCACTCTTGCTCACAACTGCCAGGGCTGTGTCAGGCTGAAGCCAGGAACCAAGGACTCACTTCATCCTCTCCTGCTCCTGGGGTGCTGTATTAGGACTTGACCCTACGAGATCCCACATGGAATATTTCATCCCAGCCAGCCACTTGACCAGTCACCCCTTTTTCTCTTTTAAATAAAGTTGTGAAAGAAGTTTTAACTGTGTTATTGGTGTGGTCTGCCCTTAAGTGTTAGTTAATGCTGTTGGAGAAGCACTTCTCGGACCAAGTTGTACAACAGTGGCTCCTAGGTGTAGGAGGCTCGAAACAAAATAGAAACTGCTACTACTATAAGCTGTAGTTTTTAGGAATACATGTCGCATGATGCTTTACTGCCCTTCTGTTTCTTCCAGACCAGCAACCAACAAACAGCTCTTTAAAATAAGGCGTACCACAATGTTACTTTGCTTAAACCCTCCAGTGCCCTGCCTCTTGACTCTCCATAAAAGTTAATGCTTACAGAATCTACAAGTGCTGTGCACTCAGTCCACACTTCTCCCGCATCACAACTCATCCTGTTTTGTTCTTCCCTCTGTCTTTCTGCAGCCAGGTGATGTCCTGGTGCTTTCTCTAAATGCCTGCCCCTAAACCACTGTGGAGCCTTCACACTTGGGCAGCCCCGCCTTCCAGAACATCCCCTCCCCCCCCCCGCCCCCATATGGTTCCCTCGCATTCTAAAGCCACAGTGATGTTTCCTGAAAGACACCTTTTTTGGGTTGTACAGTCCTTCGCCTCCACTGGTGCCCCTATTGCCCTTTCACTGTACTAGTTTTCTCTCGGCACTTTCTGTAACTGCCATACTTGCTAATTTATTCCTTATCGTCTGTCCCTCCCTCTCACTGCACTGGCTTCAGAATAACAGGGATTTTTCTCTTTGTTGTTGTTCACAGCTATGTGCTAGTGTATAGGACAAAGGCTGGCATATGTTTGACACACAGAAAATTTGTTTTGAGAAGGGCATCCTACTTAAGACACAATGAGCAAAGGCATTTAAGGAGAAATAGGATAAATGTGTGACGTGTGGGAGAAATTAGCAGACATGCACTCTTAACAGATACATGGCTTCTTACTTGAAAATTAGAAAAAGATCAATAAGACAAACAAATGTCACACACCAGGGCAAGAGATTTTAGGTTCGATGTCAGTGAAGCTGTTCCACACTCTTCACAAGAGTGAGCTCACAAGTGGGCTTTCAGGAACATCAGTTGAAAATAGTTATGGGAAAGTAGATTGAAATGGAGAAATACTGGAGAACACCAACCTATTATGATAATAGCCTACGTCCAAGGCCTAGGAAGAGGCCAGAAGTAAAGAAGAAATACAGATGTTGAATGCCTAAGAGACTTCTAAATGCATTGATGCTTGATTATGGGATGTAACAAAGTACTTTTTAGTAAATTTATTTTGAAATTGTAAATGGTAGACTCTGGGGCTAGCATTGTGGCATAGCAACTTGGGACGCTGCCTGAGGTGCTGACAATCCATTTGTGCACCAGTTTGAGTTCCCACTGTTCTACTTCTGGTCTCTTCCCTCCTGACATACCTAGGAAGGCAGCAGAGGATGGCTCAGGTCCTTGGGCCCCTGTACCTATGTGGGAGACTAGAGATTTCTGGCTCCTGGCTTCGGCTTAACCCAGACCTCCCCATTCCCCAGGCCATTCAGGGAGTAAACCAATGGATGAAGGATCTCTCTAATTCTGTCTTAAAAACAAAGCAAAAACTGAAATTTTTCTTAGTGATTTTCATAATAGTATATGGTGTGCACTAATTTAAGAATTATCTATTTGGCTCTATATCTGATAAGGCAGTGTTAAAATGTGTTGTGTAATTCTAGTCAATAAAGTTTAAGCTTCTCTTTTATTCGTCTTCTCTTCTTTCCTTGATCTTAATTCCCATAGTTTTTAAATTCCAGTTATTTATTTATTGTGAAGTAAATGGTTACATATTGTTTCATTTCTTTCCAAATAGGATAAATACTTCAGATTTAGACTTGTAACTTCAGGATTTCTGATTTTGCCTTTCAAATTTTGTTCTGCTTCAGATTTGGTGTAAAGAAGAAGCCAATTTACATTAATGTCGTAAGGGATCCTATTGAGAGACTGGTTTCCTACTATTACTTTCTGAGATTTGGAGATGATTATAGACCAGGACTAAGGAGACGAAAACAGGGAGACAAAAAGGTAATATTGTAGTTTCTGATATTTTTATAAAGACAGTTGTTTATAAAATCCAATGAATGATATGTTGTCTAGGTTTGTTATTGATTGTAAATAACTGTTTACTTATTGTGGCGTTTTTGAAAATAACCGAAAAGAAGCAAAAAGATAACTTTTGTATCTGATATCTTGTATATCTTGTAATATAAGTGATAGGGGATTGTTGCTTTGGTTTTAGAACTAAATATTTGTAATTATTGTTGTCTTTTGCACACATGTTATTTCCTGTATATTGAATGCCTTTCCCTGACTCTGGAAAAAAGTCTCTAACTTCAGCTCAAACATTACTTCTTCCATAAATTCTTTTCTGATGTCTCCAGTCAGAGTTAAGTCGAATCCCACTCAAGACTCCCAGAACACTCCATCAAATCTCCATTTTTATATTATCTATTTACATATGATCTTCTGTAAGCCGTGATAAATTTCTTTAAATGTGTTTCACTCATTTCTGTTTCCCTACTATTTAGCACTGTGCCTGGTTTACCTGTACATGCTTAATAGATGGTCGAATGTGTGAATGCCATGTTTCAAACTTCAGATGTTAGCAGTGATGCTAGACACTTGGTATATTCTGATAATCAACATCTACCAGTTGATTGTTTTCTGAATTAGATATGCTCTCATGGTGACTTGAGAAGGCAGTGGATTTTGTCTTGTTTTTCTTTTATTTGTTTTCTGGAACTTGGCTGTTTCCTTATTCTGAAAGTTAGGCAGGAATTACTGATGCAAACACTGCCTTATTCAGTGTCCACCTTTTCCTTAGCATTATTTAATGTTCTAAAAACAGTTGTTTCATAGAGATTCTGTAGTATCTGTTAATTCACTTTAACCTTTACTACTTTATTTTATATTAGTATCCATCTCCCTCTTTCAACCAAAAGAATAGTAACATTGATAAGAAGACTTATAGTCCTATAGGTCACTTCATTCCCATTTGTTATCCAAATGTTAGGTAATTTCCATATATGTGGTTCCCAGGTAGCTTACAGAGTTCTCTGGGGTAATTGTTGTTAATGTCATCATTTTACAGGTATGAACACCAAGTGCAATAAGGTTAACTGCCTTGCCCAGTGTCATACAACTAAGTAAATGGTAGAGTTGGGATTTTTTTTTAAGATTTATTCATTTTTATTACAAAGTCAGATAGAGAGGAGGAGAGATAGAGAGGAAGATCTTCCATCTGATGATTCACTCACCAAGTGGGCGTAATGGCCGGTGCTGTGTCGATCTGGAGCCAGGAACCTCCTCCAGGTCTCCCACACGGGTGTAGGATCCCAAAGCATTGGGCCGTCCTCGACTGCTTTCCCAGGCCACAAGCAGGAAGCTGGATGGGAAGCGGGGCTGCCGGGATTAGAACCAGTGCCTGTATGGGGTACTGGTACATTCAAGGTGGGCCCAGAATTGGGATTTAACCCCAGCCTTCTAATTCCAGAGTCCATAGACCTAATCCTTCATCTATCCTCTTAAAAGGAGGAAAGAAATCCTCCACCATGCTTTTATGTGAAAGATGTTCTGAAATTGCATATTTAATGTGGAAAAATCCAGGCAGATACCATAACATCATCCCTCTTTGATTTTGAAACTTTGAGGTTCATGATGCCATCCTGCAGCTTTAACCAGTCTTCCCCATGCCTGGGTAGGGCTCGCGTTGGTTTTGTTGTTGAATATCATTGTAAAGTACTTATGGAAACATCTGTCCACTTAGCTGTAGTAGTACTAATATCAGCCTGTATTGTCTTACATCTTAAGCACATGGAACCACTTTGAATAAATGCTTCATTAATGTGAAAAATTACTGCTTTATGATGGACAGTTTAGTTGCAAAACATAATGGTTAGACATTTTTGATAATTTGGCTTTTTTTCTCATGATATAAATGTTGATAGCATTTGCATTTATAATGAGCTAAGTGATCTTTTATTGCAGATAATTTCTTAATATATTTAACTGCAAGAGTTTTCATTAAATTCTGCTCTGGAAAGTTAGTAAAAGCCATTCCTAAAAATGGAAGGGAATTGGAAGATAATGGGGATTAAAGGGTAACCATGTTATATTGAAAATATCTTGTGGGGCACTTATTCCCAAAATCAAGATAGCTTAATTTCCATGAAGTTATATATCATTTGCACCTCAAGTGATGCTTTGAAATATATTACACAATATTCAGTGCAGCATTCATGACAACCATTATGTTTTAAATTCCAGTAATCTGATAATATAAACTCGTTCCTAGTTACACCATCAAATAGTCATTTCAAACTTGTTTCTGATATGTATACACTTAGAAAGCCTTTTGGCTGATTTTTGGGAAGCAAAAGATGTGTTTAATTTTAGAGATATCAGATACTTTGTTTTCCATATTCTCTAACTTAGCTTAACTTAACCTCTGCAGTACCTGGGAAGCACAGCCACAGTTGGATAGCTGTGTAGATTCAGTCAAAGATCTTTGAACTTTCGCTTGTTGGACCTCCTAGCTCCTGGCTCCGGGCTTCAGATCAGCTTAGAGTAAACCAGTGGATGGAAGACCTGCCTTTCTGTCTTTCCTTTTCTCTATAACTCTGCCTTTCTGATAAAAATAAATAAATCTTGAAAAAAAGCAAAGCTTATGGTAGGAGATAGGCGTGTTGTTGTTGTTGTTGTTGTTTCTTTTTTTTAATGCTTAGCCTTTATCACTGACCACCACAGGATTTCTCAGCTTCAGCAATTATTGTTTGGGGCCAGATAATCCTTTGTCCTGGGGAGCTGCCTGTAAGTTGTTGAATGCTTGCCAGCATTTCTAATCTCTACCTGGTATCATCCTGCCAACGTAGGTTAGAAAAAACAAAAATAACTTCAAACACTGCCAAATGTCATGTAAGGGTTAAGACAACCACAAATTATACATTTTGAAAAGCAACATAAGGACGGTCTAAGTTGAAATGTTGAGATTAGTAATTAGTAATTAGCGATTCAGAGTAGACTGCAAACATGGTGAATGGCAGCATTTCAATAGCAAGAAGAGCGGGTCTGGGAGGCTGAGAGCAAAGGTTCGTTCACAAGACAAACCTAGCGTGTCCGATCTCAGACAAGAGGCGTGAGGACTGAAGATGACCCTTAGATGTGCCAGTGCATTATGTGGCATCCAAAGGGCTTAGGAATGACAGAGAAATGAAGAAGTTGAAACTAAGAGGAAAGACTACTCTTGAGAGAGACCTTTGAGTTTGAAAGGAAAACAACAGCTAATCAGGAAGCATTTCTTTAAGATAACAGACTGCTGGAAATACATCCATATATTTGAAGAGAGCAAGAGGTTGAATGATACAAAAAAAGGAAAAACATTGGAAGTGGAAAGTCTCAGAAGGGAATGAGAACTTTATTCAGAGATAGGAGAAGGAAATACCTGCTTAAAGATGGAAGCAGTTAGAGCCTTCACTTGTAACTCAGGTTTTATCTGTGTCTGACTCAGTCTTGGTCGCAGTTTCCTATACAAAATATGAAGTAAGACCATTTATAGGAAAAGATCTGAGTGTAATTGTTGTCAGCTTCAAGCATTAAATTGCATTTAACTCTTTTAACCTTCAATTTTAAAAGTGAAATATCACACGTAATGTAACTGTTATAAAGAAATTTTTTTAAATACTTATTTTATTTTTATTGGAAAGGCGGATATACAGAGAGGAGAGACAGAGAGGAAGATCTTCTGTCCGATGATTCACTCCCCAAGTGAGCCCAACGGCCAATGCTATGCCGATCTGAAGCCAGGAGCCTCTTCCGGGTCTCCCACGTGGGTGCAGGGTCCCAAAGCTTTGGGCCGTCCTCGACTGCTTTCCCAGGCCACAGGCAGGGAGCTGGAAGGGAAGCGGGGCTGCCGGGATTAGAACCGGCGCCCATGTGGGATCCCGGGCGTGCAAGGCGAGAACCTTTAACCACTTGCGCCACCGCGCCGGGCCCTATAAAGAAATTTTTATTAAATGCATTTATTTTATTATTTTATGGTGTAGTTTTCCATAGGCTCTGGGATTTCCCTTTCTGCCTCCCCGAATCCTCACCCTCCCCACTGATTTCCCCTATTTTGTTTACAATAGTATAATCCTTTATAAACAGTCATAAGTCCATCATTCTGCTATTTGAATGTATCCTGACATTGCCAAGATATGTATATTTAACAGTTTCCTTGGGAATCTATCTTTAATTGGAAGTAAATATTCTTACTGCATGGCACGTTCACATTTGCGTCTTATAGTCTCTATTATGCCATCACTGTACATCCCCTTCAATGAAAAGCCATAAAACAAAATCAGCAACAGGAAGAAAAATAGAAATTTTACAGTGTCATGATGTTAAATAACATGCCACTGAATGATCAGTGTGTTGCTGAGAAATGAAACAATCAAAAACCTTGACGCAAATGATGCTACTGTGTGACCTATGAGTCAGTGAGGAAATTAATAAGAAAAGCAAATTTTGGATGAATGAAGATAAAAGCAAAAGTATCTAAACCCCTGAGATGTAGCACAAATGGTGTTGAAAAGATTGTTGATATTGTATTTTGCATGAAGATTGCCTTATATCAGAGGGAACAGGTTCTTACATTTTTTCACTTTAAAATGTTTTCCAAATAAGTCTTTATATATATATAATATTTTTATATATGTGGAAGGCAAAGAGAGAGAGGAGAACATCTGTCTTGCATCTGATGGTTCACTGCTCAAACGCCAAAGCCAAATACCTGGAACTCCGTCTGGCAAAGACCCAAATACCTGAGCCATCATCCACTGTTTTCCCAGTTGTAGTGGGACATAAGTGTCTTGTTCAGTGGCTTAACCTGCTGTGCCAAGATGTCCATCCCTATTTCATAGTTTTTGAACCATTTGTATCCAGTTGAAAGAATTTCTCTTTTTAAGTATTGGTGGTTTTTAAGTGAAAAAGCTGATCTTCAGAGTTTTTCTCTAGTGTTATAAAAAGAAACTGGGTTTTATGGGAAA